AGAACTCTAGAAATTAATATGGCTTTTCTTCTAAATAATTCATTTAAAAATACATAAACTTAAATCTTACGCTTTAGTCTTGAAAAAAAAAAAAAAAACCACCAACCTCTACATTAAAATTTTATAGCAAAACCTTTTCCTGAAATTTAATCAAAGCTAGTGATTTCTGAAGTAAATTTAAGCAGTTTGCAGCCTTGGTATTAATAGGATTAAAATAGAATATTTTTCTGTGCATTTGGTATATTAATCATGCTATAGAAATAAATAAGGAAGTATATATTCTCCATCATGATATAGATTATAAATACCCCTCTTTATTGCTGGAAGCACAGATACTCCCAGTTAGCATGATGGCATGGCTGAGAGATTTGAGATTACATGGCAGATGAAGACTATATGGTAGCAAAATGCTATGGAAAATTCTAAGTAATTGCTGCAATATAGTGGCCTTCTAGATTTTTGCCACCCATATATGGTATGCATAATTATTGTGATATATAATACAAGCATAACATTTATTGTTCCTATTATTCCATTTCTCCAGTAACTACAAATTTTCACTGAGAAAATAAAGTCATCTATTTTTTCTTATCTGATAATTTATAGAAAATATTTTAAAACATTACAAATAATAAAACTTGCTTTTAAATTCACACTTTTTATAAAGACCGAGAATCTGTGATAAGCACAATTTAACTCACATTAAGAGGGTAATACTGAAATTACACCAATTACCTCTGCTTCTTCTAACTTTTAAAGCTTAAGACTGAATAATGCTTTTTAAAATTAAGCATAAATATATTAGGTGCAAATATATTAACACTATAATTTTCTTAGTGTAGATCTTTTTACTAAGCTACATGTCAACTTAGTATATGTATAATTATAAGGATATCAAATGCAATATAGCCAACTTTGAACTCTTAAAATCCACAAATTCTAGTATTTTTAACTGCAGTTATGCAGAAAGTCTTACTGTTCAGTTTCATTGTTAACACTATATATTTACATCCAATAAAGCAATGACAACTTTATGTCACAGCAATAGTACAGTAGAAATGAAGTTGACAATTTTATAACACATCAATATGTCATAATGCAGGAAAGATAATATGCGGTGTATAAACTAGGTTTTAATATGGCAATTCCACTGCTTTTTAATGTACAATAGCTGCCTAAAGACATCAGTGCACAATGGGGAGTAGGGAAAGAATAATTTCTGCAGTTATTTTAGCTAGGGTTGGTATCTTAAGTAACGTAGAAGAAACTTGACTGAAGTAAACACAACTTTTTCTTGGGGAAAAAATGTATTATAAAAGTTTGACAAGATAAAAGTCATTGAACTTTGATGTTGGCTTTGCCTATTTGATTGTAGTTGGTTTGGTTTGGACACAGCATAATATATGAATCCAGTGTAATCGTATATGCTATTACTTGTACATGCCCCTATATTTTACGAGGCATCCTCTCATATAACTATACATACATATCTACCTATTTGCTCACCAGGGAATAATCCAAGAGAACAAAATAGGATTTGTATAATAGCACTTATATGATGAGTTCAGGGCCGGATTTAGATGAAAAGAGGCCCTAGGCTATTCCACTTATGAGGCCCTTTCACCTATAGTGAAAGTATAATTTTAATTTTGCTAACAATTTGAATGTAGGCCCCTCTTGATCTTGAGGCCCCCTCTTGATCTTGAGGCCCTAGGCTGAAGCCTAGTTAGCCTATAGGAAAATCCGGCCCTGGATGAGTTTAACTGTGGAAAGATCCACTGTATGCGAATTAGAGTTGTGCACATTTTGAAATGATTGAGAATAAATGTTCATGCAAGGCCAGTACTTCCCTGCTCTTTAAGAGGCCTAACTTCCTCTTGAACCTGAGAAAAAGTTATTGCTACTTCTAAATTTATATTCAGTTTAATCAGTGAAAGCCTTGTGCACGAAGCCTGAAAAAAGCCTTGAAAGCTTTGTGCACGAAACCTTGTGCACGAAGCTTGCTTAAATGAATAGTAAAGAGTTGCTATACTTTGAGACCAGAAGCATTTCTTCTCAATAAATACCAATGTATTTTTATGCACATCCACAACTAAGCAGGTGTTTGAATAAATAAGTTATACATTATACCATAAATTGGAATTGCTCTATACTGTACATTCTAAGCTTTACTTAGGGTAATTAGTACTGCTGCGCTTTTAAAAATTTAATTAGCTTGATCAACAAATATTGGTAGGTAACTGTTTGTCTCTCCCTCTGTCTTTATAAAAACTTCAATGTTGATTTATTTAATTGCTACTATGTCAGAGAGAGTCAAAATTTTAGGGTTTTTCTTTCTTGCTGGTCAATAAGAAACATTGCTGGAAGCTAAACCTTACTGAACTCAATTAAATCCAATTAATTTCAAGATAAAATGTGCAAGATCAGGTGACTTCACTGTCATGCACATTTTGCTTCAAGAAAGCCTTAATTCCAGTAAAAAAGGCACTGGGTCATTTTGGAAGGTTACAAAGCATTCAGTAATAGTTCTTCAATTTCAATAAAGATGCTGAGCAGCCCATACTTCTGCATAATCTACACTGACTTTCCTCCCTGACAGTGTGTGAATAATCTATGTTGCTCTTCCTGGAAGGGTGAAAGTTGTCCTAAAATGAAGAAGATAAAGATCAGTCTTGTACACCTAATAGTTTTACTTCCCCTCCTCCCTCCAAATGGCTTGTGCGATAAAATGCAATTACTCTTTACACATAAAACATAGAAGTCAGCAACTAGGAATAAGATCCCTTTTTTTAAAAAAAAAAAATTCTTATGTCATATTTGCAAGACTGTAACGTAGCACAGGTAGTCCTTGACGTAGGATTACAACCAAAATTTCTCTTGCTAAGTGAGAGTTGTGAAGTGAATTTTGCCCCATTTTAGGACCTTTATTGCCACTGTTTTTAAGTGAATCATTGCAGTTGTTAAGTTAGTAGCACTTTGTATTATCTGTGTTGTGAATCTGGCTTCCCCATTGACTTAGCTTGTTAGAACGTTGCAAAAGGTGATCACATGAACTCAGGATACTGCAATTGTCATAAATATAAGTCAGTTGCTAAGCTGAATTTTTATCACATGACCATGACATGCTGCAACAGTCGTTAAGTATGAAAAATAGTTCTAAAGCACTTTTTTTTAGTGCTGCTGTAACTTTGAACAGTCACTGAATGGTTGGAAGTTGAGGATTACTTGTACTTAGTTCTGATCATTAAAGAGAAGAGGTAACTGGACTTTCTGGTTTTTCTCTGAAGACTTTTCACTTCTCATCCAAGAAGCTTCTTCAGCTCCCCACCATCAAGTCAGAGCTGAAGAAGCTTCTTGGATGAGAAGCGAAACGTCTTTTTAAAAAATCCAAAGGCGAAGTTGCCTCTTGAAAAAGCACCTTTGGGACTTCTAGCTCACTGTTTAGCAAACCTGGCAAGAATTGTGTACTTCAACTCCCAGAACTCCCCAGCCACCTTGCTTCCCTAGCTTGCTGGCTGAGGAATTATGAGAGCTGAAGTCCACAAGTTTTAAAGTTGCCAAGTTTGAGAAACATTGCAGTCTAGCAGTGTTTATGATTGCAGGTTTTCATTGGTTGGTGGTTCTGACCATTTCTCCAAAATATTAATTTCGAATTATAAATTAGGTGTGTGTGTGTGTGGGGGGGGTTGGTGGTGGATATTACCAATCCTTTTTTTTACCAGAGGTGAGTGGGTGGGTGGGTAGACAGACAGACAGGCAGGCAGGCAGGCAGATAGGTTAGGTTAGGTTAGGTTAGGTTAGGTTAGGTTAGGTTAGGTTAGGTTAGGATAGATAGATAGATAGATAGATAGATAGATAGATAGATAGATAGATAGATAAGGTTAGGTTAGGTTAGGTTAGGTTAGGTTAGGTTAGGTTAGGTTAGGTTAGGTTAGGTTAGGATAGGATAGGATAGGATAGGATAGGATAGGATGGATAGATAGATAGATAGATAGATAGATAGATAGATAGATAGATAGATAGATAGATAGATAGATAGATAGATAGATAGATAAGGTTAGGTTAGGTTAGGTTAGGTTAGGTTAGGTTAGGTTAGGTTAGGTTAGGTTAGGATAGGATAGGATAGGATAGGATAGGATAGGATAGGATGGATGGATGGATGGATGGATGGATGGATGGATGGATGGATGGATGGATGGATAGATAGACAGACAGACAGACAGACAGACAGACAGACAGACAGATAGATAGATAGATAGATAGATAAAAAATCAGCAACTTTAGTTAGTTTGGCTGAGAAGTTGGCACTCCAGAATGATTTCTAAAATCAGTTCGCAAGGGAGGTGGGGGTTTTCCCCCCTTTTATTTCATTAAGGCCTACTAGTCTTTTTAACTATTGTACTAAATTCGGCTTGATCGGTTGCAAAGTAGGCCATTTCGTCTCGTTCTGGATGATATGGGGCTGTTAAAAAGCCACAAACCAAGGCGTTAAAAACCCAAACAGGCTCATTTCAATTCTAACACACCTGTCGTTTTATAGCGTGGAGTTTTATTTCTTAAGGGCCTCTCCCAGCTTTTACACTTAACGGTGTACACTTCCTTTCGGTGCAAAATAAGGCTACTGCGTATTTGATCTTAAAAAGACTTTCCATCGCCGCCCCACCGCCTCAAGCTGGGCCGGCCCCGTCCCTCCATCTTAGGCGGCTGCGCCCCGGGGGAAGCGCCCCGGCTGGGTTGTAAGCTGCACCTGCAGCGAGAAAAAAACCCCAAGGCACTTTCTTGCGCCAAGAAGACCGAAGAAACAGCAACTTTTTCGAGCTTTACATCCTTTTCATCCACCACGTCACGGTTATCCCTAACGATAAAAAAAAAAAGCCACTGCTTTTCCACTGCATCGACCCCTTCCTATTTGACTGGGTTTAAGGCGGCTGCCGGGCAGTTAAGCGTGCCCAAAGTTGCGCCCTGGAGGAGAGACAAGAGAGCGACCCAGAGGGCCTTACCTGCGCGGCGGCGAGGGAAGAAGCCATGAAAGAGGCCAAGGCCGCGGGGGAGAAACTTGAGCTTCTTTACCCAGCCTAGCTGGCCTCAAGGCCTCCCCGCAGGTAGGACGGCGGACCAGAGTCCGGCGGAGACGTGCGCGCCCATCCGCCCGCGCTCCCCAAAGATACCCACGGGCGCTGCACCCCGCGGGTCAAGATGGCGGGAAAGAGGCCCTTGAAGCAGCGAGGGAAGGAATCCGCAGCGACCCAATTCCCGCACCGAGAACTGCTATGGCTGCGCTCCCTTCTGCGGCCCGAGCGCCGCCAAGTCCCGCCACGAGACGCGCGAGAAGCCGGCGGAGCCGCTTGCCTTGTGTTTGGGCTGCCATGGTGACACTGCCCTGCAAGCGGCGAGGGAGAAAACTGCGTCTCTGCTTCGGAGCCGGGGCTCTTGAGCATCTCTGAGTGCGGGGAAAGGCCCGCAGTACAGTTTGTTAAGAGTTGCAGGCCAAGGAGAGGGCACCCGGTTGGGGAAGGTTGCTCTTTGCCCTCCACCAGATAGGTAGGATAGGGTAGATGGATGAATGGGATGGGATGGATTGGATAGGTAGGTAGGTAGGTACTAAATAGGATAGAGAGGGAGATAGGTATATAGGGTAGATAGATGATAGATAGGATAGGTAAATAGGATAGGGTAGATAGATGGGATAGGGTAGGTAGGTACGTAAATAGATAAGGTAGATAGGATAGGTTAGGTAGGTAGATAGAATAGGTAGATAGGGTAGGTAGGTAGGTAGATAAGGTGGATAGGATAGGTTAGGTAGGTAGGCAGGCAGGTAGGTAGATAGGTAAATAGGACAGACAGACAGACAGACAGACAGACAGACAGACAGACAGACAGACAGACAGACAGACAGACAGATAGATAGATAGATAAGGTAGGTAGATAGGATAGGGTAGGTAAGTAGATAGATAAGGTAGATAGGATAGATAGGTAGATAGATAGGTAGATAAGGTAGATAAGTAAGATAGATAGGATAGCAGTGGTGAAATCCAATTTTTTTTACTACCGGTTCTGTGAGCATGGCTTGGTGGGCGTGTAAGGGAAGGATACTGCAAAATCTCCGTTCCCACCCCACTCCAGAGGAAGGATATTGCAAAATCTCCATTCCCTCCTCACTCCTGGGGGAAGGATGCATTGTAAGCTGCCTTGAGTCTTCGGAGAAAGGCGGCATACAAGTTGAACAAACAAACAAACAAATAAATAAATAAATAAATAAATAAATAAATAAATAATATTACAAAATCTCCATTCCCACCCCACTCTGGGGCCAGCCAGAGGTGGCATTTGACGGTTTTCTGAACTACTCAAAATTTCTGCTATTGATTCTCCAGAACCTGTCAGAACCTGCTGGATCTCACCCCTATAGGATAGGATAGGATAGGTAAGGTAGATATGTTAGATAGGTAATAGGTAGATAAGATTGATAAAATAAAATAGATTGATAAAATAGATTACATAGATTAGATAGATACTCTCTACTTGATTTATTACCACAGTTGAGCCCAAAATTTCTGTTGTTAAGCGAAACATTTGTTAAGTGATTTATAATTATAATTGGATTTTACCACATCTTTAAGTAAATTCTAAAGAACCTTGGGAATAAAGTCACCCAACTTCTTTGGATAAATATATTATGAAGAAAATTCACTAAGTATGTATTCTTCTACTAGGCTATCATTGGCTAAGAATTTATATCATACAGGCAGTCCCTGTGTTAAGAATGAGTTCCCTTCATATGTATGTCTTTAAAACAAATTTGTATGTAGCCCTCAACTTACAAGCACAATTGAGCCCAAAATTTCTGTTGCTAAGCAAGACAGTTGCCCCATTTTACAACCTTTCTTGCCATAGTTGTTAAGTAGATCACTGCACTTGTTAAATTAGTACCATGGTTGTTAAGTGAATCTGGCTTTCCCATTGACTTTGCTTGTGAGAAGGTCGCAAAAACTGATCACATGACCCTGAGACACTGCAACCATCATAAATATAAGTCAGTTGCCAAGCATCCCAATTTTGATCACATGACCATGGGGTGCTGCAACAATTGTAAGTGTGAAAATAGTCATGTCACTTTTTTCCAATGCCATTGTAACTTTGGTCATTAAATGAACTGTTGCAAATTGAGGACTACCTGTATATAGAATCTCCCCAGCTTCCTGGCAGGTAGCAGAGTTGCTGTTATGGGGATGGAGCGGAGAGGAGACAGCTTTGAGCTTCTGTGCAAAAAGCAGGATAAAAATCTCATAATACTGTAAGCATCCTGATGGATCTTGTCTTAAAAGGTCCCAGGCATCACTGAGCCACAACTTGGTTTGGTCTAGAAAAAAGGGAAGACAGATTGGAGTTGGTAGCATTGAGATGGGAGAGTGCAAAAAACAAAACAAAACCCAGCATTATGGATTTGGTTGTGAGGTAGAAAACTTTGGAATAAAGGCAGAGTCACATTTCAGAATAAGATGGGTGGCATATAAATTTAATAAATAAATGAATAAAGGGTAAGCAACTTGTGAGCTCTTGCCAAGCAAAGTTGAGACCTCCAAGTATAAATTAAACCTCTATACACAGGTATAGGTAAATCTGTATTTTTTCTTCTCCTTCATGTTTACGGAAGCCATAGTTTAAGGTGTTGTATTTATCCCACAAATTGATGTGTATCTATTTATTGTACCAATATTGCTCTAAACGTTATTCTGTATTTCTGGTGTGAGAAGGGAAAACATAAATGGCTTTTTCCTGTTAATACATCGAATACTTTTACATTTTATTTTCATTTTATCTATGATTGATGGGCTAAGAAGACCTCATTCCCATGTTATCCATATCCTTAGGCTTGTTTTTTTGCACAGTTTTTAAATTTTAATGTGCATAGCTTTAAAATTCTAATTGCTTTTCTATTTATCTTTTTATGTTCTGCAAGCCATCCAGAGTTCCCCTATCAGGGATGGCATATAAATTTAATAAATAAATTATATGTTTGTTGTGGCAATATAACTGTGAAGGGAATGTGGTCTTTGCCTCTTCAGATTAAGGTTGGGATGGACTTAACAGAACAAATGCTGGATAGAAATTGTGATGTCTGGTTTGAACACCCATGTCATTCTGAAGTGATTCTACCTTTATTCCAAAGATACACAGAATATGATATTTTAAGAAAAAGAGAAGCTGTTTAAAAAGGATTTTAAAAATCCAAATAGAAATGAGCAATAATATTTTTTTAGAAAAAGGGAAGTTACTAAAATGTTTTTCCTATAATGCTTTTCTTTTGCCTTTTTTGAATTTTATTTTTTATAGTTTCTAGTTCAAATTTCACTTTAGTGTACAGTTTATGTGTATTCTTTTTTGTTTTTGCTTTTTTGTTTATTTAATAAAAATAAATGAAAAAGGGAAAGAAGAAAATATTATGAATCATAATTCCTGAAGTCCCTTTCCGCTGGCCATGTTTGCTGGGACAGGTGGGAGTTAGATTTTAAAATAAATCCCTATTTGCTCAAGTAATAATCTTTTCATATATCCTGCTCAGCTAAAATTCTGCCTGTGTTTGGCTCAGTAAACATGATTGTGGTTTATATTCCCAAGGCTGCCTGTCATAAAAAAATTTTTACTTTATTTGAAGAAACGTATTTTTAATTATGCTGATGCCTCATAATTAATGTGAATTTACTAGAATTTCTTGAGTTCACATGCAAAAAGGAACCCTGTTTTCCAAATTTCTCAGCATGAGTGGCAAAAGGAATGTACCCAAAATTCACTATGTCTAGTGCATCTAATTTTGAATTATAGGTTCAAGTTCTGGTCAAATTAACCAGGGTTGTTACTTAAGAGAGAATATGTAATTTCTGGCATGTGTTGGGTTCTGATTTTGAGAGCTAAAAAGGAGAAACAAGGCCATATCAAATGCCCATCCCAAACATTTTCAAAACATTAAGACGGTGGCCACAATGATTTTTTTACTAATTTATAATCACAAGAATAATTGTGAAAATGCTTACAAACACCATCATTCTTTAAGGCTGAAAATACTAGAGTTTGCCAATGTTTTCCCCTCCAGAGGATCCCAGCAATTCTGCCTTTCTGGAGGAAAGTGAACATAAGTGTTCTGAAAGGCTCAGATGCTGGCATTCACTAGTATTTTACCAGAAATGAGATCCATTTTGTAACATGCAAGAGAATTTCTCTTCTCTGCATGGAGGGGAGGGGAAATCTCTTGGTGTGCAGGGGGAACGGACCTCAAATCCAATGCCTTGTCCGCTTGCAATCTTTCCTGCCGACTTCCCCATTGACTTTTTGGGGAAGCCAATAGAGAAAATTGCAAATGGCGACCGCATGATTACAGGGCACTTGGTGATCAGTTATAAATGTGAATGGGTGGTCAAGTGCTCAAAATGTGGTCATGTGACCAGAGGGGCATCTGGCATGATATTTGACAACAGCCCAGAAGTGCTTTACAAAGCACCTGTTCTGAAACTGTTGTGACTGCAAATGGTCATTAAATGACTGGTAATAAACCAAGGACTATCTATACATGAATAAATGAAGTACATTCATCATTTTCTTATTTTCTCATATTGAAGGGAATGGATAAAACTCAACTTCTTATATCTGAGTAAATGCAATGTAAAGTTCCTTCAAACTGTCTTTGAACTGATATGGAATTATCAACAATTGAGAAGTTGAGAATATTGATAATAGACCGAAAACCTTCACAAAATATCAATATCAACCCACCCTCTGGAACGAGCTACCCCCAGGGATACGACTGATCCTAGACCTCCGTACTTTCTGTCGGGCTCTGAAGACTTTTCTATTTCAGCAAGCCGGGCTGGTTTAAAAAATTTTAATTGATTAATTTTATGGGTAAGGGGTTTTAAATTGTGGAAGCCAAATTGATTTAATTATTTTTAAATTATTTTAATTTTCATATTGTATGTATTTTAATCTTGGCTGTTCACCACCCTGAGTCCTTCGGGAGAAGGGCGGTATAAAAATTTAATAAATGAAATGAAATGAAACGAAATGTATTATAATTAGACTACTATTTAAAAAGAAAAAAATTCTTGAAAAATAAGATGTATAAATAATAAACTATATAGATCAGAGGCATATGCTCTTGTTCCAGGTTTAAATTGATACAATGATAATAATATTTCATAGTTTTAAATATTCTGTTCCATTCCAGACGCTGAATTTGATTACCTCAAACTATAATATGGTTATATATTCTTAACTACAGGGCCAGCTGTTACAATTGTGAAATTCGTGCGTTCATAGGAACAATTCTGATCTGTCAAAATAGGACTCTAATCATGCCTGTTGTCAAAAATGATCTGACAGAGATAAGCAATATCAAACTTGCTTTTGTTCAGAATTTCAAATGAGCTTGGATTTGGCATT